CAGGTTTTTCCTCTCCTTGTTATACCCCTAGGAACTAGGCGAAAAAGTTGTATCTCATCTTACCAAAAAAAAAAAAAAAGTCTTCCGTATTCGTGTTTTTTTTTTTTTTTTTTTTTTTTTTTTTTTTAAGGAGTATATGTTAAGCATACATTCATATTGCTGCTAGTCAGTGATCTCTTTTATAACACAGAACTTATAATAAATAAGTTTCTATAAATATTTGTTACTAATCATAAAAATCCCATTGTATTTTTAAAACCCGATGATCGGCTCGCCAATATAGTAATCGAACCTCATTTGCATGAACACTCAGGATGTCCAAAGAATTGTTCATGCTAAAAGCAGTTCTCCATATCCGGAAGTGAGAAAGTGAACAATAAAAATATGTGGTACATCTTGAAAAAAAGAAAAATACTATGTAACATAGATAACAAAATTCCATATTTTTGCCTGCATATTAACGTGTTTTACTTGAACGTGAATTTGCTCCAGGTTGCACAGAACAATTATTTAAATTACTTGTACGTCAAAGCAAACGCTTCAATTGGTGAATTCAGTGTGCTTTCGTTTGTTGCATTATGAAGCGACTCACAGTTTGTAATACGGTAAAAGTTTTCATCACCCTAACCGGATTTTCATTTGAAACAGCACTATATTCTACTAGTGCATTTCTGTCTGTATACGAAAAATAATTATTACTGTTCGATAAAGATTTCATTACACTAAAAGCCGTTCAAGGTATCAGTTGTTTTTGCTCCCGTTGCAATTTCGCACGTCATAATGTTGTCATCCATTGAGACTTAGGCATTAAATGTTATAGATTCTGGAAGCCTACCATAAGCTCGTACATCTGCTAAGTCAAACTGCGTCTGTTATTCCATTACCATGTCTTCTGTCGTAGTGTTTTCACTTTTAACAAATCCTTCTTTGCTGAAACAATTAACGATTGTTTCTGGCGTTACTTTCTGCCACGTCGTTCTAAGAAACGTCAAGTCACCCAGTAGTTTCATTTTGAATTCGACTTTTTGATTAAAGCAATGAATTGCCTACGAGTTAGTTTTCTTCGATAATGGTTTTCAAGTTACTTATTATGTCTTGATGACAAGGTTGTAATTTAGATGCAGTATTTGAAGAAAGATAGTTATATGGCCTTTAATCCTGAAATTCGGTTATATTGCGTTACATTTAACCACAATCTGACATGCATTTCTGATCTGTAGCTGAAACTTTTGGCCGAGCTGTTTTATAACATTTGGTACAAATTTCGGAAGTAATCCACGCCTTTTTTCTGAAGCCGTAGATTACTTGTAATGACTTTACAGATTTAAAACATCTGGACTTGCCAATAATTAGTAAAAACAATTTATCTATGCCATACACATTGCAAATTACTAATGCAGTCAACCTTACTTCTCTGCATTTACCTTCAGAGCATTTTAAACCGTTTATGATTAAAGTGCACCGAGCTTAAAATGCGCCAAAGCCCACTAACCGCGGCTGCGGCATTTTGCAGTTTTTGAAATAAAACTTGATTCTAGCCAGAATGCGTCAGACCCCTAAATAAGAAGCTTCAATGATAAACTCCCGAAATTCATTTTACGAAATTGGATCACAGTTTTCGTAAAAAATCCTTTTGATTTCATAATTTTTTTTAGTAATAAATAAGTTGTAAAGTTCGATTTTAACTTCTGAATGCACGGTTGTCTTTGCTTAAGAAACAGCCCTTGGAAGCCCGAAACTTAAAAAAAAAAATAATGGTTATGGTAGCATCCCTGGCAGTTTATCAAGTGCATATTTTGAAATAGTCTTATTATGTTGCCAGACTTTCTTCCTTTCCTTTTTACTTCCTTGTACGAAGTAAAAAGGAAGAATTGTAATCGCGAAAAGCTTCAGGCAGCATATTTCAACGAAAATATCCACTTTGACCGCTTTCGAATGCAATTTAACGATATTTTTGCTTGATATCTGTACGTAAGGACAAAATAAAAGACCTCCTTTCCTCAAAAAAACTAAAAAACAGCTTTAAAATGAATTCTGAAGATAATTTTTCATGGCGTCTGTACGAACTTACGTGCGTACGTATCTCGCATAACTCAAAAACGAGTAGCCTCAGAACGTTGAAATTTTGTATATATGACTACTATAACATGTAGATGTGCACCTCTTTGGTTTCAGTCGGCCTCACCAAACGTATATAAATATATTTATAAATATATCCACTCTGTTACCCGGCTCAGTGATTCAGTTTCTTTACTCTTATATGTTTGTAAATTGTACATTTTTTTCTTTAAAAATGATTGAATTATGTTGTTTTTATCTTCCGGTTAAGGGTTTTATGTCTTTAGTAAATCTGTATGCCATATTTTTAGAATTATCAACAATTTAAAAGTTGTTTAAGTGCCGCTAAGCCTATTTTGATGGCGGCCATTGCTTGTTTACATTTGAAACAGCTGAGTAGTGAATTTGTTGCCAATCTAGAGAAACGTAGCTTCGCAACAACAAAGATAAACACCTTCATTTATTATTGCGATTTAAATCATGCTTAATCCTTTCTGGAATTTTTTCAAGGAAATAAGCGTTTAAGATTTACTTAATTTTTAATAATTAGTAATTGTTAGTAGAGATATTTTGATTTTTTATGTATTTTTGCCTTATCGTGAAGTGAGAACTGAATTAATTGAATGAGAAATACTCAATCGTCTGTGAAAAACTGTTTCTTTTTTGTTTTGTTGCTTAATTTCTTTTATACATCGTTCTAGCTTTATTATAGTACTTGAATAGAACATGTGGCAACGATTAGATAATTCTTTAAATGATACAAATTTTGTGCATTCTGAGTTATAATATGAACGAAACATAATACTGTTAATTGAACCTAGTGCCAGAGTGTCGCTATGGTAAACAAATAGAGTGAATTTTAAAGAATGCACTTATTCTATTGTGGTTTATGCGCTGTCGGCGAAGTAGATATAATTAAATCCAATAAGTTTAAACAAAATGCAAGAAAAAATGCGTATAATTTAATATTCCGTACAAGGAAGTCATGTGGTGTACACATCAGATTTTTTTTTTTTTTTTTTTTAAGTGTTGAAAAATGTGATTACAAATGATTGTCATATATTTTATTGAGCTCTCATATATTTTATTTTATTATTATATTATAGTATATTATATGATTAACAGTTGTACAGTCAAAGTTTCCTATGACAATCGCTTGTTATAGCGATCATTTTATTACAACTACCATTAAACTGATGAGAATATACTAAATCCATTTTCATTGTAGTGACTACTCATTATAATGCTCTTTCTCTCTCTCTCTCTCTCTCTCTCTCTTTTTTTTTTTTTTTTTTTTTTTTTTTTTTTTTTTTTTGTTGTTGTTGTTGTAAAATGCAAGATATTATTATAATAAGTATCAACTGTAATGATAAAAATATGTCATATTAATTTTGTTTTAAGTAGATTGCAGGAGATTAAAAAGTAAAATTAATACACTCGTGTGCACAATTAAGAGAATTTGCGCATTATATTGAGCTCAGAACTAATGGAGAGATTAATGAAAAACTAATGGAGAGATTTTAATGAAATATGAATACACATTTATAACGAGAAAGAGATGTATACCCATTCAAAAGTTATTTAGCATAATGGCATAATGGACAGCTGGCAGTTGAGGAGTCCCTGTGGTAGTCGACCCCTTTTCCTGTATTAGGTAATTTTAAACTTGATGATGGTTCTCTGAAGGGGGATGGCAAGATAAAATTGCCTTTCCAAGAACATCCCAGACATGCTGTATAGGTTTAATAAGGTCAGAAGATCTCCCGGCCAATCTATGCAATGAATATCCACACTTTCCAGGTAATCATCAACCAGCTGAGCCCTATATGAATTTGGGTAACATTGGATGAGTGTTGCCATCCATTAATAAGAACCCAGGGCCAACTGCATCCCTGAAAAGTCGAAGATAGGGCTGTAAGATCTCCTCTCTATACTTCTTAGCAGTTAGGAAGCCTTTGTCAAACACATGCAGGGGTGTGCCGCCGTTCAACATAAGGTCTGCCCAAACCATTACACCTTCACCACCATAATGATCCTTTTCCCTGATTGAGAAATAGTATCATATTCCAATCTCTCTTCAGATACAGGTGCACTGAGAACCAGTGTCCAGGCTGAATCTTGACTTATCTGTAAAATTCAAGGTCATGTTGCCTGCACAATGCTAAATGCACTGCCTTGCGTGCTGCAGCGAGTGAGACACAAACAGTGTGCCTTCTTGCATACAACCCTATCTTATAAAGTATTTGGGCAATAGTAAATCATAAAAACTCAGGTTCCAGTGGCAGGATACAGCTGACACGAGACCTGTAAATCTGTAGCAGTCCTGTGTAACCGTGCTGAAGAAAGTGCCAATAACCTGCCTCCAGTCTAGCAACAATTCTCCATCTCATTCTGTCATCCATTAAGTTCATGGTTATTCATTTTACATGATGCCTTTTAAACTTTACCCAACTCTTGGCAAAAAAAACATTACGAATCTCACGAAGAAGCATAGAAATAGCCAAAAAACCCTTGTGTGCTTATATCCCCTCCACAATCCCAGCTCCCCAGACACACATGTGAATGCTTGTGCATTCAACTCTGAATATTTGCATAATTCAGCCGTGATATAATTAGTACCTTTGGTTCAATATTTTTCATAAAAGGTTCAATATTTTTTATAAAAGTAGACATAATTTCGAAATTCTCCTAATTTTCCCCATGAGTATAAATGATGCTGGTATATGAAAAGCAAAAATAATAAAAAAGCATGATTTGCGTTAATTAATACATTTGCAAGCTGTTAACTCTATTTCAGATTTTCTTTATTGATAATTAAAGGAAGCTGGAAAATATAGCAATTTTTGCAGTAAACCTAACCATATATGTATTGTGTTAATGTTATTTTGTTTTGAACTATAGATATATTGTAGTTTTACTTAATGTTATATAATTTTTCCCAGGTAAATATTTTACAAACACACAGATGGCGGTGGCACTGGTTTATACACAGATCATCCAGACAGACAGCTTCAAGGTTAAAACAGTTCTCAACATGCTCAAGACTCCAACAGACACCTGTAGCTCAAGTACCACACATGCCTGGTACTTTTGTTGACATAGATCCTTTTAAATTAGCTGAACCTGATCTCACAAATCTATATTCCGATATAAGAAAGGTAAAGGATTTTTTTTACTTAGTTTTTTATTAGAAATATAGTATAACTTGCTAGATGTTAAAGAAGATCTGAATTTGTGAATTCTTTTCAAAATAAAATTTAAAATAAATTATTGATATTGGAAAATTTTAATGGCCATACTGAACTAATTCTGAATTGCAATAAATAGTGTTGCATTTTAATTCTTTTACTCCAAAATAAATTATTCAGCCACCAGAAACTTGATTTCAGTTATAGTTTTCAGTAAGCTTGTCAAGCATAGATTTGCAGAACATAATTTCACATAAAATTAGCAAAGCAACAAACTTATGCTTGGCATTGATTTAATTAAGAACTCGATCAATTTTCAACGCAAATGGGTACAAGTCCCACTTCATCAGAAGCAAAGAAATCTGCGAGATTGGAAAGCAGTAGCCACAGTGTTTGTACAGTATACCCTAGGGCAGTAAAGTGAATGAGAAGGTAGCACCTTTTGTTGGCAAAAATATATGTATACATCTTATCTTATTTATTTTAATTTTTCCAATACTAGAATTTCACTCATATACAGTTTAGTGTTCATTCATCAACAGTGAATGTATTCATCAACAGTGAACAAGCATTATCAGCAATTTTATACGATTTCTGTTGATTGAAAATGAAACCAAAGAAATCGTACAAATTGCAGAAGCAACTTGTGGCAAAAGGTTTTCAAATATGAAAGGAGAAATCAAAAATTAATCAAGAAAGGATGAAGAAGATAATGGTCTAACAGTGATAATGATCCTTTAACTTACAAGAAGTTAATTTACAAGAAGTTTCATGTGATTAAACTGATATTGACACTTTACAAAAGTTGTAACTTTATGATCAAAGTTACAACTTTTGTAAAGTGGAGATATTATCAGGGAATTATTTGTTCTACACTATCATAGCATGTCATTGCACTTGTCAATGGTATGACTGTTTGGCATTTGCTTTTAGGCAGTAATTTGTGTTGTAAATACACATGAACTCTTATCTTCATGTGTATCATCAGAAATTAATAAAAACTGTGTAATGAAATCAGACATCTTTAAAAAAAAAACTTCATAAAATATATATAGCTTTACTATTATTCCATTGTAAAAAATATTATTGTTTAATAAGTATCTGCATTTTTAAAAACCTATTTTAAAAAAATTGGCTAAGATGATCTCATTTCTGACTAAATTTCTAGATCACAGCTATATAAACTTTTAGAGCTCCTCAAAACTTTTATTAAAATGTTTTTGATGAGAAACTTGCTTGTGTTTTTGCTTGTTTTAAATTAGAAATTTATGTTTGTGAAAATTTAGTTTCTTATATTACATTTATCCCAATGAAGGAACTCTGGACAAAAAGCCCTCATCTACAACAAATATCTAGCTACTATTTTGATGGTCAAGGAAAGGCATTCCGTCCTGTAATGGTTGTACTGTTAGCTAGAGCTCTGAATTATCATATCTTTGAATCTAATAGGTAAATAGCATTTATGTATTTTAAAATCATTATCTCAGATTTGTAGATGATGTAAAGCAAATTGATTAATTAATCAACACGTTCTATATATTTATATATATATATTTCAGATTTTCAAAGCATCTAGCGTTATTTAGCATAGTAATTTATTTTTACATTAAAAAAATTTTTTTTTTCAGTATTTTCTGTACTTTCCTTGCATATTACTTTTTAAAACATTTAAGGAAATTATAAAATGAAAAATATATTAGTATTTTTCATTTTTATAAATTTTTTTTCAGTATTTTCTGTACTTTCCTTGCATATTACTTTTTTAAAACATTTAAGGAAATTATAAAAATGAAAAATATATTAGTATTTCTGTAAATTATTCATAAAATCAAAAGAGAGAAACTGACGTTTTAACTGAATCATATGCAACATTATTTGAATATTAAGTTGTTTGGTTGAAAATGTTATTTGTATACTAATATTCCAAGCTAAAACTATTTTAATAAATAATAAATAATTTTTGCATTTTAGCTTTAAGGATATGGAACATAATAAAAATGTATAATTTTTTTGTCTGTATGCTAAAAATTTTTAATTTTTCTTGTGTATACATGTTAAATATTTTTTATTTGCTAAAAAAGTAGATTTTTACCTTATTTATTATTAATGCCAAATCTTGATGATTTCAAATAACATTTATAAAATTTAAATCTTCCTTTAATGTTTCAGCATCTAAACTGCAGAGTAATTTAGATTAGCATAATATACTATTATTTTTTCTTTACTACCTGTATTAAATTACTTGCCCTTCCTAATTTTAATTTCCATTTAGCTAAAGCTCCTTTGCGGTATTTTAACATAAATTAACAATATGTTTTTTTAAGTTACAACATTTTATGTATGGAAAGCAAAACAAAGTTATATATCAGACTTTTAGAGTAGTAAAAAAATGATGCAGACTCTTGATACACCTTTAGTCATACTTTTTTTTGCTGTCAGATATGTATGCATGAAAACATAAAGAATTTTATGATAGTGCATCATGAAAAAAAGATGGGCAATAATGAAGAGTATATTCATGGAAATGTTTGGCCTAGCTTTGAAATGCCGGTTTGGCATCGCATTATTGCTAGAGTAAAGGATGAAACACCTTCGTATTTATTTCTTAATTATTGTTCATTGAACGGGAGTTGGTTTGTTCCTCTTGAAAAGTCAACTAATTTCCGATCAATGGCAATGATTACTTGCATTTAATTAAATTACTTGCTTTTAATTTATTTCTTTTTACAATTGAAATTTTGTTATTCATGATTTAATTCAAGTCCCCGTTAAACATTTTTAACATTTTTCGAAATTGAACTTACTACGTATGGATTCACTCCTTTAAGATAATTCTAAAATTAATCTTGGGAGATAATATAATCAATTTTCTTTAGTATATATATATATATATATATATTTATAATCTTAAATTCATTTTGTGCGAAAACAAGTTATTCTACTACTTGTGCAATTGCTGCAAAGTAAGTTAATAATAATTTATTTACTAAATAATATTGATTAATTGATTATATTATCTCCTAAGTTTAATTATAGTAGAATTATCTTAAAAGAGTGGATCCATACTAGTAAGTTCTATTTTGAAAGATGTTTTGAAGTAACTTGAATGTAAATTGTTAAAAATGTTCTAACGGGAACTGGAATTAGATTTTGTGGTTCTCCCCATGTGTATTGTGAATCCAAACCAATTTTTCATAAAAAGTCCTCAACAAAAGGTATCCCTTAGGCAAAAAGCTCTTGTATCATTTTCCATATTCAAATAACCTTATCTAATTGTGTTATTCTGTATTGAAAGGTAAACACAAAAATTACTGGTAATTTAACATGAATTTCCCTCACATGGTAGAAGTTAACTAAAGTATACACTGTAAATTGTCTTTAGTTTCTTCATGCTGTTAATCCCATACATTTATCTTTTGCAGCAGTTAAAAATTTAGGCCATTTTAATGTAAATCATTCAAAAAACAGAATTTTTTCTTGGAAATGGATTCTGAAAGCACTTTCTTAGCACATAAAAACATATATTAAACTATCATGCTTTCTCTGGCTGATTTTACTTTGAACCGTTGATTGACACTGCAGTATAGTTCATTCAGTAAATGGTTTTTGGGGTGTCTCCTGTGAAATAGCTTCCAATTTTTTCCTTTCTTCTTCATTCTTATTTAGGCCAAAGAATACATATTTTATGTTATATGGATACATAAATTATTATAGTTCATACTAGTTATCATATAATATTACATCCCCTCGTTATTATGCTGATTGCACGTGCTAGTGAAAATTATGGAACTTTTAAGTGGAATAAGTGTTCTAATTTTTATTTTCCATTTGTTTGGACAAAGTTATTTACAATTTTTGGTTACAGTTAGAATTAAATTTTTAAATAAAAAATTTGCTCTCCATAAATAGCACAGGATTTATTACGCTTTTCATGGTTTCACTGTAGACAAGTTATTACAGTAATCAAATTGTATTTGAATAATGGAAGATTAAAGTCAACATTACTGATGACTTCTGTGACCAAATTACAATAATTAACAGCCTGTTTTCAAATTGAAAAATATACAAATGTTTACAATTTTTTTAAGCCTAGCAAATTGTTACGACAGAACCTTCTAGTTTTACTTAATAATATATGTTGGGTATTACTATAATAAAAATGGCTATATGTGGGGAATATTAAGTTTGTTTTCATGAAATGGCATTTTTGACAAATTTATTAATAGTATTACATTCTCTCTACTGTTAAGTGCAACATATAATCCTGTAATTGAGATAAAAAAATCTATATTTTCACATTTATGAAACCTTTCAATAATATCCTCCTCCTCTTCCTTCAGTCAAGATATTTTTTTGCATGTTATGTTACATTCAGGTTCTTCCAAAACAAATTGACTGTATATGACAGGTTTTTTAGTACGTACTTGTTATTAAAAATACAGTTCAGAAAATTATTACAAGATAGCTTCTGCAAGCATAATAGATAATTACCGTATTTTTACTACTGTGTTTTAATTAATAAAATAGTTTTTATATTTGAATATTAAAAATATAAAAATGGGAAATATTTAAATCTAAAATCCTGTCTCTGAAAATACTTTTGGCAGCTATGACTGCCTTTTCAGCTACTTTCATAAAACTTATAAAAAAGAATGATATAATCATGTTAAATATCTTAAAAACTGAATGACATTGCAAGCTAATATCTACCTAATTTATTTTGATGTATCTATTCTTAATTGGTGCTATTATATATTTGGAAACTAGATTAGAGATATATCATGACTATATATATTATTCCTTAGTTTACATTTGATTATGACTGCCAGATTGTGTCTGTTTCTTTTTTTACAATATGCACATTATATCTTTTAAATATTCTAATAGAATTGTTTCCTGAAGACTTTTAGAAACACAGCATCGAATGGCCATTATAGCTGAAATGATTCATACAGCTAGTTTGGTACATGACGATGTTATTGACACATCAGATACAAGAAGAGGAAAATCCAGTGTAAATGTTTTATGGGGTCAGAAAAAGGTAATTTTGTTTTTAAAAATTATTTTTAAGTTAGTCTGTTTTGTTTTTCTTCCAATTAGTTGGCAAGTTAATGCAGTGTTGATCCTTGAGGCCAACACTTAGCTTTTCATTTAAGCAGTATTTGTCCCTATGGGCTGACAATATCAAACTTTAAAAATCATAAATGTTGTTATTTATTTGATGTAAAGTGTTACATGCATATTTCTTTGAAGTATTTTATTAAAATATGTTTCCTAAAATTTTTCAATTAATAAAGTTGCAAAGAATGGTTCCACTTTACATATATTACTAAAAGTGAAACCATTTTTGGGGGGTGGGGAAGTTATCTTTATGACTGCTTTGCACTAAAATGCCTTTTCATTTATGTTATAATGTTTCTGACGAGTATCTTTGTGCTATATGAAGTGCAGCTGTCTCTCCCCCTCCCCACTTCAATGAATACTTAATATTGATTTAAATTAGAATTTCTTCATCTGGATGCCATGCGAGCTCAGCTACCAGTTCTTTGTTAAATGTCATGATTTACAACCATTTGGAATTTATGAAAAAAATCCTCTTTTTTTGTTTGGCATTTAAAAATTTTCATAGAAAGAACAAAAAGTCTTATTCCAACAATTTTCATTAACAGTATTATTTTGCAAAAAAGTTCATAAATATAAGAAAGAGAGAAATAAAGCATTGCTATTTTCATATAAATATTTGCATAAATAAGTTCTTTATGAATAATACAACTTTTGCTTTGATTAAAGTGGAGAATTTTTTAAAATAATATATTTCAACATTCATATAGTTTGTGAATAGTATAATATTTAATTACATTTACTTAGTAGTGGGAATGTTTTTCTGTAATAATTACAGTCGATTCCGGTTAATTGGACCACCAGATAATCGGACCAGCCGCTTTTTCAGACCAAATCCTAAAGAACCGAAACAAATCCTATGTACATAATAAGCCTAATATTATTCACTTATTTGGACCAAAAAATATGAGACGAATCGGAAACACAAGCCACATACAGATGGTCCGAAACATATGGAAGGATCTGTAGCTGCACTTCTCAGGAGAAGGCTTTATCAAATATCAGGAATTCCTTAAAGTGCATGACAATTGGTGGGAGGTGAACACTTGCACCATTTTCTTTGACCTTTCTTTGACCTGCACTTCCGAGTTTCGAGAAAATGAACAATAGAGTGTCCGGCTCCACCTGAGAGGAATTCCCGCCTGTCAATCATGATTAAAGTTTACACAAGAAAGCTAGCATTTCATTACCTTTTTGGGATGATTTTAGTGCCAAAGCGTTGAATGGCGAGCATTTTATCTCCCTCTTGACCTCAACATCTTGAACCCGAAACACCAAGGTTTCTTCAGACCATTTTAGTCAGTGAACTGTGCATGTGTCTTGTCTCCCCTGCCAAAATGCCACGATGGGACTTGACGTTAGCTGAATGAAACACTAGTCGGCGTCGGTTGGTGAAAACGTCGGTTGGAATGGCAAAGACTACAATTTCACACTTGATAAAACAAGAGAATGAGCTTCAAGAGGAATGGGCACAATGTGAAGGACAAGGAGGAACTTCTAAAAAACGGAAGCGTGAAGGCAAGGACCCAGATGTCAATGAAGCCCTTAATGAATGGTTTGCCATTGTTACTTAACGATCTGTGTGAGTAAGCGGCCCAATGTTAAAATGCAAAGCAGAAGAACTCGCTAAAAAGCTGGGCCATGATGACTTTAAAGCTATGGACGGTTGGTTGTAAACAAAATTCAAGAAAGCACATTGCGAAAAAAGTTTGACTGTATTTCTTGCTTGTAAATGTATGTTCGCCATACGTGTATACCGCACCATAAAGTTCATAATTACATTTTAGTACATGATTTACATGTGCATTTACTGTTTGTTACATATGGCATGGGGCCCACCAGCAGCCGAGCGGTAAAGTCGCTGAACACTGTTAGTTTGGTCCGAGGTTCGAATCCCGCGAACTAGCTGGCTGCATGGGCATTTTCGTGGTTTCCCCAAATGTGACGTGTATACGAGCCAGTTTCCCTTAGAAAGTCCTCCACGAAGGCATCCCTTCCCTTAGGCAGATAGCCCTAGTGTACTTTGCCATAAATAAATAAACCAAACCAAACATATAGCACGTTCCGTCTTACAACATAGGACATGTTCGTGTAATTGGACCAGCCGGTTATAATGACGAAAATGATCGCTTTCTGATGTAGTGTGATTAACCAGAATCGACTGTATATAGCTTTATAATTTATATAAATTTCAAAACATATTTGTATGCAGTTTTGCTTGCCAGTAGGATCTCTGCAATAGTCCAAGTAACCATTTTTTTATAATTTTTTAATGTGAGCAAAGGAAAGCCATAGCAACAAATGAAGCAAGTTTATGGATTTGGCAAATGCTAGCAATAGAGGGACAGAATGTCCTAGAACTTTTTTGTGAATTAGTCATTTTCTATTCCAAATGCATACGAAAAATACCATTTTTATTAACAAAAACTTTACTTATCTATAAGTCTGAAACTGTGTATAGTATAGATTTGATGTTAGTAAATATTCAACAAGGAAATTAGTTATTAACAATAGTTATTAACTTAACATTAACAATTTTAGAGAAATTTTTTGAAGTTAATCCTATTATTGTATACCTGAAGGTTGAAAATGGGTGCAATGTTGAGTGCTTTTTAATACATATTGAAATTATATTTGTGAAACCTTGTGGTTCAATAAAGAGTTGTATTAATATTTAAATCATAATTCTGTATTAATAATGTTAATAAAGTAAAGCATAAAAATTTCACATTCTAGTGAACTTGCATAGAAAGTTCGTTCTAGTGAATGTTCTAGTGAAGAAACATTCTAGTGAACTCGCATAGAAAAATGGGTATAAAAATTATCATTTTTAAAATGGTGAATAAAATTGAGGTTGACAAAGATTAAAGAGCCAAACATAGTTTATGAACTTCATTGTTCGTATGTTCTTTGTTCATATATTTATGAACCTTTTTCTTTGTTTCTTCTTTGTATTGAACATTTTATGAACTTCTTTGTTATAAGAGAATGAAAATAGTGGGTGTGCTTAAATAAATTTATTTTAAATAAAAAAAGGCTTGGGTAAAAATATTAATTACAAGTGAACCCTCTTTTGAGCAATCAACTCCCATAAACAACTGCCTCTAAAAGTTGCCTCTAAAAGTATTTTGAGAATATACTTAAAGATCCTTATTGAATATTGTCTCTTTAATATGACCTTCTCCATAAAAGACCAAAATTATCTGGCACCATGGGTGGTTGCTTTTAGAAAAGGGGTACTATAAGTTCGAAAGAAAAACATTAATTTTTATGCATACAAATTGATTATCGATTACATTGCACAAGTTATTCTTGCAAGATAAAATTGTGAAGATTTGTTGTTTTCAGGATCTTTTTTATGTTGAACAGAAATAAGAGTCAGATGCTTATAAACTGTCTTCCAAAAAGTTCACTTGCCTAAAGCAAATAAATATTTGTATTTCATTGCAACCAGATATTTAATTTTATTTTAATCTTACTCAATAAGTCAAAAAATCTCTTAAATGTGTCAATATTTTGGACAAAGAAATATTACAAAAGGTTTTTGAACTACCAGTTTATTTCTATTTTCTATTAATTTCTTAATGTTGAACTTCTTTTAGGATAGGATATACCACATTTGGTACTCATTGCTGTTTTTCCATTTCATTTCAAAAATTCTTATATGCTTTATTTAATTTCTTTTCATGCCTACTCCCCTGCAATGATGGATGCTTTTCCATGAATTATATATAAAAAAAAAAAAAAAAATCTGAATCCTGTTATAAGCTTTGTAAATGCTTTCAAGGACTAAGATACTAGATGGCAAATGTAAATAATATAAATGCTATTTCAGCATTTATATTTTGCTTTAGTTGTGGAAAGATCAAAAAATAAAATTGGGCATAATAATGAATTATTAGTATGTTATTGAGCCATAATTAACAACAAAACTTGAGATAAAAACTCTCAAGAGATTAGAGTGTAAATTCATTCCAAAAAGCTTGAAGAAATCTCCTTTTAGAGCTGCTGTAATGAATTGTTGGTGAACTCAGTTTCAATTTTAAAATGTTATATAAAACTGAATAAATACAAAATCGAATAACCTGTTTATACATCTCATTAAATGATTTCTAGTAACCGAAGCTTTTTTACTAAAATACGTGCTGGAATATACTGCTTAGGAAATACAGTACTTCTACCTTTCATCTTATTTTAGGTTAGCTTTTTACAGAACCCTGCAGTATTATTTGTATCAAAATGTTAACAATGTTTTTTCCCCCACAGTGAAAAAAACACTCCGTTTCTAGTTTGCTTTAAAAAAGAGAATAGAATTTAACCTTTTTATGTTACACAGAAGGATTATATAGTGATTAGCAGATTCTGAAGCCAAGGGTGTAGTTAAGAATCCCAACATAAGGCTTGGCTTGTATATACCCTTTCTTGTGGGTGCAGTATCACTTGTGTTGCACTCTGGGCAACAGCCTGAGTGATAGAGTAGGCCATTCCCAGCAAATGATTTCATGCAATTGTCTTTTCATTGGGCTTTAAAAAAAAGTTTAACAAAATTTTGCATTTATTATAATTACTGTAAATTTTTATGGTATTAGTAGAAAAATTAAAGAAAAATGGATGTATAATAGAAGTGTGATATGCTGAGATAGTGGTGTTCAAACTTTATGGGCAATGCGACCCATCAATTCCCTTAGTTAAATACCATCAATTCAGATTTTTTTGGCCTTTTTATCCACCGTGCAACCCCTCTTTAATTTTTTTTTTTTTTTTTTTTTTTTTTTTTTTTTTTTTTACTCCAAATGGGGTTGTTATCCATATTTTGAATACTGCTGCACTAAAACAGGATAATGAAAATTCTTATTTTGTTAAGAATTAACTGCAAAAATGCAAGTAGCTAAGTATATTTAATATAAACACATGAAAATCATAACCAACTGAAAACTGATGTATCAATCATTATATGATTAGCGAGTTGTAGTGACTAGTGAATGCTAGAGTATATATATATTTAAAATTTAAAAACTCCCATATATATGCACTCAAAATCATTTTTAACAGAATGTGCCTGCTTTGTGTTTTTAATTTTCTGATAATATTTGAAACAAAATAATGCTTTCATTTTGCTTTCTTTATAAAAGATAAACATACTGCTTTTGCTCTAATCTATTTGAACTGTTTTTTTTATAATGTTACTTCATTAAATATGTTGATTGTATTTAAAATTTTAGGCTATATTAGCTGGTGACTTCATATTAGCCCAGGCTGCACGAATCCTTGCGCAGTTAAATAATGAAGAGGTAGTTCATCTTTTAGCGCAGGTATGAAATTTTTCAAGAAAATTTCAATTATAAAATCTTTTATCATTTCAGTGAGCTTGACTATAATGTGTCTTTCATTCCCAATATTCTTAATGTAACATGATTGAAATAAGAAGCATAAAATTATTCTAGAAAGATCCCTAATGCATATTATACAGAAAAAGTGTTCTATTCCTGAATTTGGAAAAGTAAGAAATTTATTATAATATAAAAAAATAAGTAGTAGGATTTCATATGTTAGAGAAAACTTAGAATCTATAATTATAAAATTTTATATTGAAAATATTTTTGTAACCGACTTAAATGAAGTAAATTTTTATCTTTTAATATTAAGCATATGTTTTTCAATCCAGAGTGTAAGAAGGACTAGCCTTTTTGTCCCAGCTATATCCTTTCATAACAGTTTTTCAAATTGATGGTCATTTGTGCGAGTTTTCAGCTGTATGCATAAGCATTATATAATTTGTTGCAAGTGTCAATCTGTTCTGTATGTGCCATTGATGCTATTACAGAATATCTTAGCATTAAATATGTGAGCACACCTCTCAGTGAATATTGCTAAATCAAATAATGAATGAAACAGTTTATAAGGTAACATAGCAGCCAATTCTTCCAGTGTTTTATTGCATCTTTCAGTAGATCACTGAATCTTCCAATGTTTAAATGTTAATCTTTACTAAGGAAAATGTTTCCGAGCAATAAGCGAAATTTATTGAATTCATGAAATATAAATTGTGCAAATTTCATTTCTCCACCCCACCACATCCCTAGTGAATTTTAGCAAAATTTTTCATGTTAATTTTTTTATCAGACTTCTTTATCTGCTGTAGACATTTGTTGAACTTTTCATGAAGATTCACCTAGTGTTTATTCAGTTAATATTTACATTTAATTTTGTTTCACATCAATAAACAGTACATTATTAAATTTTTAAATAAAAACTTTTTTTTTTTACTTGAGTTTTTTTAAAGTGCAAGAAAATTACAAAATGAAATAAGGCAGAGAAGATAAAATTTAGAATATCTAATTCAATATAGATCTATTTTACATCCGTAACACATTATTCAGTAACCTGAAATACACATTATAAATTGAATTTATTTAAGTCAGCTTGTGTTTCTTTTGAGATAATGTAGCTACCCAGTGTAAAAACTTCCAGAAACTATTGATTTTTGTGCGATAACCTTGTTTTTAATGTTTCAAAGTTGGCAAATATGATAAATGTATTGTGCAATCATAACTATTTGGTTAAATTTGCTGTTAGTGAAGGTAACAGGCATCAAACTGAGGACTTGCAAAACTACCAAATAAAGAAGTTACTCGAAGTCTTACAAAATTAATATAATAATTATAATTTTTAGAAGTCAGTTTGAAAATCAAGCAATAAAGTATTTCATATGCATACCTTAGATCCCCAAAAATATGCATTCGAAGTATTCTTTTGGGGATTTTCTAATGACAATAAAATTATATTAAAATATTTACTAATCTACTAAATAAAAATGAAACTACATTTACAAGAGTTGAGATTAAATTTGAATCAATGTGGTTTTATCCATAAGTATTTTATAGGACATATTTTAGTTAACAGGAATAGTAAAAAGATCATGATCATGTTTTTGCCATCCTTGCTCCATTATGTTATTTGTTATATTGCCTGTCTAGCAATAGAAGTTACTGAGATAATGTATCATAAAATTATCAAAGCAACAGACTTGTGTTTGGCATAGATTTAGTCAAGGATTTTTTGCCAACAGATGGCACTAACTTCTTGTTCACTTTACTACCGTAGGGTATAAATATGACCATTGTGTCTCCTCCTTTCCAGTTTTGCAAATTTCTTTGCTCCTGATGAAAAGGGACTTATACTTGTTTGTCATTGAAATTAACCGAGTTCTTGACTAAATCCATGTCAAACACAAGGTTGTTGCTTTGTTGATTTTTTGTTTTACTTTGGCATGTTTTTCTTTTATTTCAAATGTTTACAGACAGTTTTAGCAAAGAAAATAAAATACTATAAACTCTCTAAAAAGACCACCGGTGGGTCCAGATGATTTTTATCATCCATGGAAGATGTTCATCTTAGAGAAGTATGGAACATCTTAAGGATGCTGCATACCAATATTTATTTATGTTCTCAGAAATGCTGGTCACTTTTAGGGATGTTTGTCTACAAGAAATAAATTAGAATAATGACGTGGAAAGCCAACTAAAAAAAAAAAAACTCTCACGGAGTCTACTGCATCTGATTTGTATGTAGCAGGAACGCTTTATTAAGAAAATATGATTAATACTTTGAAAATATTCTAAAACTCTGAGATTTCCTTTTTCATTTTGTGTGTATCCAAATTGGAACATGATTAATAGATATTAAAGTATGGTCATCTGAGTTTTAGTTAAATCATTTTGATCTTCCTTTATATTATTTCAAAATAGCTAAAAGCTGCATTCCTTGTTTAAACTTTTTCATTTACTGAATGTTCATTAATAGTTTAATTTTTTTTTTTTTTTCCTTTATAAGATTCGTTAAAAAAAATGCTGAATTACAGTTTTCTCTTTTTTGATATTTAATGAAATAACCAACCTGCTACTATTTACTTTAATGTTTGATTATTGTATCTTAGGTTCTTTTAGATCTTGTGCAAGGTGAATTTATGCAAATGAGCTCTACAGAAGATGAATCAGAAAGATTTTCTAATTACCTCCAAAAAACTTTTAAAAAGACTGCCAGTCTAACAGCATACACGTGTAAAGCAGTAAGTATATATTTATACTTATTTCATTTATTTCTTTGGTCTAAACTTTATATTAACCAACAAGTTTTAAGTCAACATTTAAAGTTTTTCCTATTTTTCACATTTTAGTGTAAATACATGTGTGTATATATATGCTGGAATTGTCATATTAAAAGCTAAGTTTATTTAGTACTTATACCACACACATTTAAAAAAAATATGCCAGCTCATTGCAGAAGCAGAAAACAATTGCAGCTAACAGAAAGTTATGTTCTAAATAATGTTTAATGTATATGTGAATTTTTCTTGGAAGTAAAGATGAAAAGTTTTGTATTATGTATAATGTATCTCTCTCTCTCTCTCTCTCTCTACCTAGTAAAATTCAGCTAAAATTTCAATTAAAAAGACACAGTAATTTTTTATATTACAAGCTTGTAAAGGTTTTCTTAATAATGAAGGCAGTGAGGAAAAAAATGAAATACGTTTTGCAGCTGCAAATTAAAGCAATTTTTATTGTGGCATAAAACCAGCAAAAACGTCAAGGAGAAAAACTGATCTTAAGATCTTGAAAGTCTGTTTTCTAGAAACTTCCAAAATATTTCTAAACTTGCAAGAAATTACCAAATGCTGCCAGTAATGACCAGATAGGTTTTAATAGCCTGTATCACTATTCTTGTTAAGCTGTTCTTACTAAGTCAATATTAAATTACTCGGAATTATTAGTATTTTAAAGTAACAAACGTAAGTGCAATTAAACTTTGCCAAATTAAGAATTGCAACAAAACAAGACACAAAAAATACGAAAACCAATGTGAAACAAAATACAAAAACAGAAATACTTTATAAATTATAACAATATTTGGTGAGAAATTTAGTATGTCTCTCTTAAAAGCAAAAAATTTTGAAAAAGGAAGATTTCATTGCTTGTCTTTTGAAATGCATTGTATTTATTTTTATTATTATTTGAAATTAATTCAAAACAAAGGCTAAATTTTACAAGTACTAAAATTGGAATAAAATTCTAGAATCTACATCTCTTACATGTATTTCTCTTAGTAGTTGCATAAAATCAAAAACTTGCAAAGCAAAAGAGAATTAAATCTCAAATGATAAAATGAATACTGTTTTTATATTTTACAGTGCTTAGTAAGAAATTCAAATATAAATGTGTGTGTTTGTGTTTTATATAATAATTGGTTCAAGTATACAGTTGATTTGCATTTTTCTAATTGAATTAAAAAAATTTATTATCCATATTTATTCATTTTTATTTCATATTATGTTAAAAATTTCAAATAATATTATGCTTAATAAATATATAATAAATAAATAAAGTATAATTAAATCCAAGAAGTTGGAATCTGTAAGTAACTAGTTAACATAACTATTACTGCAAAATACTATGATCCATCTGCAAGGTAACTGCCTCTACAAAAGATCAAAATTGTCATCTAAGTAGGATTTTGATCATCTGCAGAAGTTTTCATTTTTAATTTATTATTTTTGCCAGTATTTACTAATGTTCTTAGCTTTATTAGTTGTTTCAGAAATTTTCCCTCATAAGAAATTTTCATCATCATAAAGATGATCAGCATAAGAGGATTCATTATCTATACAGGGTGATTCTAAGTTATTCTTACAAATTAAGAAGGGTGATATACTCATCCAGGTGAGCAATAATTACTATAGAATATAAGGTCACATTCCACTGTGCGAGGCAGGAAAGAGGAAAATTAGAATTCCAACCTGAACTTACAACAGTGTTGGGAGAGCGAATGAACTAGACCAAAAGTTACACAATCAGTTTAGTGAAAAACTCACAGAGTGCACAAAACGGATAAAGCTGAAAACTTGATGTTCTAGTGTTAATTCTACCTCAGACTTTGATGGAAAAATTCAAATGCACATCTTTGGTTGCCAAGATCTCAGCTTTGCAAACGACTGCAACAAGTTAATTATCTAATCAAGGGCTGAATATTATCAACTAACTCCACCGTCCGCTGTATACCGAGATTAGCATGAAAAGTTCATACTGTGTTCTGGCTGTCAGAACTTCATGTCCGATTGAAGGCCACTTCAAATAGAATGAGTGCAGCACAGTCCAGGAGGACAGGATAGAAGATGGGGAAGGGCGGGGAAACTGCTACCTTGATACTTATCAAGGTAGCAGTTTTTTCTCCCTAATAGATAACTTCCCCCTAATAATTTTGATAACTAACTTGTTGCAATCGTTTGCAAGTTGAGACCTTGCCAACCAAAGATGTGGATCTGAGTGTTTGCCATCAAAGTCTGAGCTCGAATTAACACTTAAACGCCAAGTATTCGGTTTTATCCATTTTGTACACTCTCTATGAGTTTTTCACTAAACTGATTGTGCAACTTATGGTCTCGTTCATTCACTCTCCCAACAATGTTATGAGTTTGGGTTGGAATTCTAATATTCCTCTTTTTCTGCTTCTCAGAGTGGAATGCGACCCTATGCTCTATGGTAATTATTGCTCTTCTGGATGAGTGTCACCCTCTTAATTTGTAAACACAATTTAGAATCATCCTGTATATGTAGAGAGAAGAGGAAAAGAACAGACATCATATTGTGTGTATGTACTACTGATGTATAGAGAAAACATACATTTAATGAAATACCAGATTTTGATTTTATTAACAAAATGAGCAATTTTAGAAATATAATCCGAGAGTGACTTAGTTTTCCTTACTTCAGTTTTTCAATTATGCTTTCTTCATAATTCTCTCTCTCTGTCTGTTGTCTGTGAAGAGGCTGACTGCATGGGTGTTATGGCAGTTTTTCCCATCCATATATGACATCCAGTGGTGGCTCGTAATAAGCACTGTGGAACTGAAGCACCCCCTATTTCCACTTATTATTATTCTTAATATTTAATATAGTGTGTCCTTTAGTTTTTAATTCTTTCTTTATACTTTTACAATAAATAATCCTTAAGCTTAATGTCAGTAGCCATCCCCCACTTTGTGAAAAAGGTACGAAAGTCTTTGATTGGAACTGCGTGCTTCACAGTTTCAGCAATGTGGTGTTTGGCTGTTCTGCGCATGCGCTGTAACGTCAGGACACCCGTGTCGGGTGAAAGAAAGACAGTTTGTCTTTTAAATTATTTATTTGACAAACTAAAATAGATTTCTTGATTAAAACATAAAAATAAACTGATCATTACAGCCCTAAATCATACAATATCCGCTAACGCAGATTGGACGCAAAAAAGGCGTCTTTTTTACTGTAGTTACAGCATAAAAAAAACTATTGTTCTACAGAAACCACTGGCGTGGTTTAGAACGTAAAGTCACCTCAAAATCACATGAAGAACTCTTACACAAAGATTTCACTCGTTTTGTTATCTGCGAAGAGAAACATAATTAGTTCCTTGTGTCTGGAAACTCCCAGGGGGTTTTATCTGCAGTCCTGCTTTTGCAGGTATGGTCCATTTCGTCCGCGAACAAAACAGGAAGTTATAATTCAGCACCTGTGCCTGCACGGGGGGGGGGTGCTAGTAGCTGTAACGTCACAACCCCTTTTCTCCCTGGGGGCGGGGGTTTTCAGAAAACTCCAATTCCCGGTAGCTACCACAGCAAGTTTTCAAAGTAAACTAATTAAGCAAATTAGTTATTAGCATTAATACATTTTACAACAACACTGGGCTAAGTACCAAGGATAAATATATAACAAGAACTATATTGAGGCCAGTAAAAAAAAAAACATATAATCAACATAATACTGAGAAATAAACTTAATTATACACATACAAATAAAGAACGTATAATTTTCTGAAAAATGTAATATACAACGTACAATATACATTCCAACTTTAACATTAATTATGTTTTTAGCCAGGCTGAAAAGGGAAACCTTGCAGATTTTTAATTTTCCGTTTGTGATAAACGCTCAATGGTAACCCAACACCTGGATGAGAACTACTACATTTGACCTCAAAATAAACATGTACATTTAATTTGACTTTTAAATCAGAAAAAACTACCTCATTACAAGTTGGATTTACATCATTCATGAAGTAGCTATATTTAATCGCCTTTGACCCTTCAGTACCCGGCACCAGTATAGATAAATGATGAATTGGGGACTCTTCTACTTTCCTTGGTAAATTTACACTACTCGGTGTCTTGGGCAATTCTCCCACGAAATTTTTAGGCATTTGCAAACCTTCCAAGTCTGGTTGGTACAAAACGTCATTTAGCTTATCTACAGTTTCTTGTTCGTGCCAAATCGAAAAGGAACTTCTTAACTCGTTCACATTTCCCAAAGGGTTACTGTGATCATTTAACGCGACTAAGTCAAAAGATGGTTTTACAACGTCACTTTTCTTTTGTAGATCAGATAACCGCGTCTTGTCTATAGTAAGTAGTGTCAGGTCAGTTGACTCGGAGCTCGAGTCTCCACCACGTTTACGTGAAAGGAAAATTTATCATATTGATCTACTGCTAATTTTTCAGCAGTTCTGTTTCCTAACAAATAATGGCCAGTGTCCATTTCATTTCAAATGACCGCAGCTTTTGTTGTTACTTGACCAAAAGTTCTTTCTATTGTATCGTTTGCTAAGGGTAAACAAATTGGGGCCTTTTCAAACGGGAGTTTCACCCAAACAGTCTCGCCCATCAGCATCGAAGGAGTGAGATAGTTCTTGAAAATTACATCAATGCATGACCTGGTATCTCTCAAAACAGGAAGATCAAAACCGTTTACTTTAGCCATCATTAGATACGGGGCTAAACAATCTTCTTCAATCTCCTGGACTCTATTTACAATAAACGGAGTTTTGAGATCCTTTTTAACTTCCAGACATTGAGGCCTTAAGTATTCGGTTGAACTACACGAATAACACTTAATTGGTATTCTCATATCAAATTGACGCTCATTCTGATTCCAGAGATGTTCCCATCTGTCAGAGGGATATCTATCTTCCCCTCCAGACTGGTGATACTTTTGCGGATCCCTTGAATTTAAATGATTTTTATTTCCCAGTTGTGACTCAGAA